CTAACATCTTTATCTACAAAGTGGCTATGTGTCTCTACTTCTTCCTCTACTAGACAAGTTGAACATATTACAAAGGCAAAGAACATGTCTCAAGACCCGGTTCGTGCAACCAAGTGTACAATCAGGTTCGAACCGAAATCTAAACAAGAAAGTTATTCCAACACTTAAAACTTAACTGTGTTACAAAACCCCTGATTCTAATGAAAGAAGTAGTCAGGATTTTGGTAACTAACCTGAACAATTTCACTGAGCCAAAAATCAAGATTAGTGTTTAACAACCATATCTCGAATTCTTCAGGACTGAAAGAGCCAGTTTATCTTGACATCATTATTTGTTGTCATTTGTTACAACTTCTGTTTCGGTTCTAATCTCTCGAGTTTCCTCTTGTTTCTCTATCCTCAGGCTCGGACTACTATTGGGCTGAGGAATCTGTGGAGATTACGATGGTTAAATGTGCGACTCAGTTTCCAAGTTAAATGGCTGTGTGAGAATTAAGGGTTTGTTACCATCGGATGAGATTTATACGAGAGAACATCGTTATCTGATGATAGAGATGAGTCGGAGGGCCTGTGAAACAGTAAATGAGCTATGGATCGATCTATCGGGTTTGTATCAGTTTCCATATCCATGAATCCAACGTACCTGGTAGAACCCAAATACAGATATCAAAGTTAGAATCTACTAGACAGATGAGAACAAGTAGCGAAGTGGAAGTTTTTAAAGAAGAGTTACTGAATCTGTCCAAAACTCGAGTCTAATCCTATCCAACGTTATAAGTTGGTCACAGAATTTTACTTGGCAGCAGTGAGTAAAAGATGAACATATTAGAAAATTATGCAGTGTGGTGCTTACTTGTCTATTTCACTGTTTCCACCATTTGGATTCATACAATTATGTCTCTGCTCTGCACTTTTTGCCAATCGGTATAAGCTGTCTCTTATGCAAAGTTTTGTCCTAACATCCAACTGGAGCAAGCAAGTTCACATCAACCAAGGAAACAAATGTACACGTAAATTTATTAAGATATATACACTTTTTCCCAAACACCTTCAGAACTCGCAGGGAATTTTTTTCCTTATAGTATTGAGACGTTGTACCTGTTCTATAACTTGTTGAAGCTGGCGGAAACTTGTTGCTTCCAGTGAAATGTCATCTACTACAGAGCTAACACAAGAACTTTCCTGCATGTTTGATGTTTCCAATTCAGCAGCAGCTTTTTTGTGGTCATTCTCAAGCCCGGTCTTCTGGGCATCAGGAAACATCATGGGGTTTTTCTTACTACTCTTCCTGCTACTTACAGCGAAAGAAGGAGGCATATCTTGCCCGGGCTGCAAGTTAACTCTCTTTTCGAAGCCCTTCCTACACCGATCATCAACAGTTGGGCCTTGTAAGCTCTCAACGGATTGCGCCTGATTTGATGCGTATGACTCATGTGAAGCAGAGGAAGAGTTGGGTTTGTTCTCAGATTTGATACCAGATTTACTCTCACACGCTGATATTTGATCTGAAGGCTGCTCACAATTGAAATGTGGGTATGGAACACCTTGCTGTTGGAATGTGGAGGGAGGGTAATACTGGTTTGTGTCCATTACTTCCCTGGAAATACCACTATGTTGTAAAGTAAAACTGTTCTCCGAGTATCCATCACTTTTCCCATCCAATTGATGAAGATGTTCAGTCTGCTTCTTTTCGAGATTAGCCTGTATAACAAAAAAAGGTGCACAAATATGAATGGCTGGAACAACATCAAGACTTCAGCACTGGAACTATATACCTAATAGAATATCCACAAGCCATAAAAGAAAACCATAAACGACAAAACGGTAAATTGTAAAAGGCGCCATATCTAAAGAATTAACTAAGGATAAGATGCAGTGTATGCCAAACATTCAGTAAGAAGCCTAAGTCATCACAGAGGGCAAAATCCCACAAAACTCTAAAATAAAAAATTGACTAACCTCTTCATCCAGCATCAATATATCCCTATTTTGCAAACTTGTATCAGTTACATTTTCTGATGATTTTCCTTGAGCTGAACCGCCCACAACCGTATATCCATATTCACCTTCAACAGCATGGTTGGACTCACTGTTGTTCAAAAAGTCTTCAACCTGCAACATAGGGGTTCTTTGGTTTTCCAACATTACATCTGGTTTTATATCATCTGTCATTGCGGTTTCTGTATCCTCATTTGGCTGAGCAGAAGAGAACCAGCACAAGTCATCTTCATTATTAAGACCATCCAAACCAAAAGTTGAATCACAACTCCTGTAGTACAAAAAAAGCAAGCGTAAGCCAGAAGGGATGAGCCCTTAATGTGGCAATGTGTTAAGAATTTATCAAAGAGGATATATAAATGTTACCGAAGCATATTGTCCACATCCTCAAAATTTCCTATGTCACCCCAGCCGTAGAAGAGATCATTGCTTTCTTTGTCTCCATTATCCAAAAAATTGAGATTGTTTTCAGCACCTGGAATGTTGTTGAGGGAATAACTATATACGCCATCGTGTGTTGGAGCAGAACTGTCACGCAACATGGGATCCGCAGTGCAGAAATTCTCAACCACATCTACATGGTTACCGTTGAAACCATGATCTGAAATCTTTGGATCCTCCAATGCCATTTCCTGAATATCTTTTCCTGAACCCGCATCACGAGAAACCGGAGAGCCACCATTATTTTTCTCAAGCCATGGATTTCTTCCTAACATATCAGCCTCCCTCCTAATAAAAGTATTACTCTTTAATTGGTTTGTTCCGCTACCCATATCTTCATTTCTTCGTTTCTTCCTTCTGCTAACTAGAACTGGAAACTGACGTTCGTCCTCATACGCTGAGTCTGGCACTATACAATCATCGTTCCCATAAAATTCATCTGAAATATTGTTGTCTAGCTGAAAAATAAGGGAAAAAACTTCAGCTACCAGTTAAAAACTGTGTTAGCAAGTCCAAGAAAAAAAAGCAAGGGAAACATCAAACAGATAAGAATAACAAAGAACACATCCAAGTGGTAGAGATAACAAGAAGTAAAATATGAGAGGGCAGAATTTTCCTTATATATTTTAAAAGCACGCGCTTCACCAATAGTCATCTTTTCATGTATTCAAGATACATGTAAACCGACCAAAAATTTAATTAGTTCATTAAATACCTTAGTACTTAACAGACAGCAAATCTTCATCAGTCCTCACCAACCAAAGAGTAGCACATCATATTTATCATAAAGAGAGACGTATGTAGCAGTGCTACCAAGATGCCAATCTAATATCAAAAATTTTAAATGAG